CTAAAAAAAAAATCCATGAACCCTACTAGTCATGAGAAAAATATCAAACAAATCCCAAGAGCAGCATTTTCACAAAATACCTGACCAGTAGTCCTAAAAAACTGTCAAGGTCATCAATACAAAGTCTGAGAAACTATCATCACCAAAAGGAGCCTAGAGACATAATGATTAAATGTAATGTGGTATCCTGGATGGGGTCCCAGAATAGAAAAAGGACATTAGGAAAACATAAGGAAATCTAAAGAAAATATGGACTTTAGTTAATAATAAGGTATCAATATCAGTACATTAATTGTAACAAATGAACCATACTAATCTAAGAGGTTAATAATATGAGAAACTGGGTGTGGGGTTTGTGGGAACTCTACCATGCTTGCAATTTTTCTGCAAATATAAAACTGTTCTAAACAAAGTTTTTATTTTAACTAGGAAAGGGATTAGGCATTAGTTGGACTAGGACAGTGAGTCACTGGAGATGTTTCTTAGAATAAAGGAGAGTTGAAACTATTTATAGGTTGAAAAAAAGAATTCAATAAGGAAGGCGGAAGTTAGGGTTCAGGATGATCACAAAGAGAGAAGCTGAAGGAAGCAGCGTCGAGGCCACAGTTGGAGGAGTTGACAATCTACATAAAGAGGTTTCTCTCATCCTCTCAGACATAAGAAAAGTAGGAGAGGATGAATGGATATAGAGACATTCTTTACTTCTCGGGATAAGGAGAGATTTACAAATGGAAAACACTGAACTCTTTTTTTTTTTTGAGTTGGAGTCTCACTCTGTCACCCAGACTGGAGTGCAGTCGACCTGCTGGGCTGCGGCGATCCTTCCGCCTCAGCCTTCCAAGTAGCTGGAACCACAGGCGCGCGCTACCACGCCCGGCTAATTTTTTGATTTATTGTAGAGATGGGGTCTCGCCAAGTTGCCCAGGCGGGTCTCGAACCCGCGGGCTCAGGCAATCCACTCACCTCAGCCTCCCAAAGGCACGGGATTACAGGCTGAGCCACCGAGCCCCGCTAACACTGAACTCTTAAGGAAAGCTTTGATTCCTTGCTTTTTACCATAGCAGTCTCACATTCGGGATTTCTAAATGCCATTTCTAATAATGAAGAAACCCAGGGCTTGTGTTTCTTTGACAGAACAGATATTAAGGGATTGTTGCAGTGAAAATACAAGCTCTGATTAGATGTCACCATTGCAGCTGTTTACCACACCAGGAGATTCCGATTTAGTACCATATTCTTCATTTGTTTGTTTGAGTCAGTTTCACTCTGTTGTTGCCCAGACTGGAGTGCAGTGGCACGCTCATGGCCACTGCAGCCTCAACCTGCTGGACTCAGATGATCCTTCTGCCTCAGTCTTCCAAGTAACTAAAGCCACAGGCATGCACCACCACACACGGCTAATTTTTTTTTATTTATTATAGTGATGTGGTCTTGCCAAGTTGCCCAGGCTGCTCTCAAACTCTTGGGCTCAGACAACCCTCTTGCCTCCATTTCCCAAAGTGCTGGGAATACAGGTGTGAGCCACCACACCGGCCAGATTCTTCATTTGTACAGTTTGGTGGCCCTATTTCAACTCTAGATAGAAGGTTATTAAGATCCCTTTGGCTGTAAGCAATGGAAACCCATAAGCTGGCCGAAGCATAAAAAAGGTTGGAAGGAAAAGAAAAAGCAAGATGCAGGAAGAGCAGGGACCCACCCAGCTCTGAGGTCAGAACAGCAGCAGTGGGTGGGTCTTCTATTCAGGACACATTCTCACTAATGTAGGTCCACCAATTCCCAGGCTCAGTTTCAAGTTCCTGAAAGTGACTACTATTTTTTTTTTTTTTTTAGTTGGAGTCTCACTCTCTTGCCCAGGCTGGAATGCAGTGTTGTGATCATAGCATTGAAACTTTAATCTCCTGGGCTCGAGCAATCCTCCCGCCTCAGTCTCTCAAGCAACTAAGTCTACAGGCACATGCCACCACACCTAGCTAATTGTTTAACTTTTAAGTTTTTATTTTTATTTTTTAGAGATGCAGTGTTGGTATGTTGCTCAGGCTGGCCTCAAACCCCTGTTCTGACCTCAGGCTGGGTGGGTCCCTGCTCTTCTTACATCTTGGTTATTTTTTTCCTTCCAATCCTTTTTATGCTTCGGCCAGCTTATGGGTTTCCGTTGCTTACAACCAAAGGGATCTTAATAGACTTCTATCTAGAGTTAAAATAGGGCCACCAAACTGTCATACGGTATCACCTTGGCCTTCCAAAGTGCTGGGATTATAGGCAAACCACCACGCCCAGCTCTGCACCAATTTAAACTGAGTGTCTACTCTGGATCAATTGGCAGCAGCCAAAGGGTAAGTGGCCTAAATTTGAGGCCAGTGGGGCTTTGTCCCTGTGCACTGAAGCCATTCACAGACACGGGAGTTGCATGCTAGGCAATTACCCCAAGAGGTGTGTATTGTAAGCAAAAATGTTTCATGATTCTCCTCCACGTGAGCTCACCATCAGGTTATGAAGATAAAACAGTTTGGTGGCATTCTGATTTTAACCCCATAGTCTCTTTAACATTCCAACAATTTTTTTTCTAAGGCCTAAGAGAAATTACCCTCATTCTCATGTTTATGTTTTTAAAATTTGTTTAAACTACTGAGAAAAGATTATACATACTCTCACCCAGTCCCTTATCTAAAAGATAATACTACTGGCTGGCATGGTGTTTCACATCTGTGATTCCAGCATTTTGGGAGGCCAAGGTGAGAGATTTGCTTGAGCCCAGGAGTTTGAGACCAACCTGGACAACATAGCACGGTCTTGTTTCTACAAACAAAGAAAAATTGGCCAGGCGTAGTGGCATGTGCCTGTGATCCCAGCTACTCCCAGCTGAGGCGAAAAGATCACGTCTGAGCCCAGGAGGTCAAGGCTGTGGTAAGCCACGATCATGTCACTACACTCCAGCCTGGGCAACAAAGTGAGATCCCGACTCAAAACAAACAAATAAACAAACAAATAATACTTCTAAATGCTTAGGGTGGTCCTTAGGATGCTACCACCCTGCTGAAAAATGTATAGGGGCTCCCTACTGTCTGCTGTATTTGAAACATTTAAGAATTTAGAGTTCTTTATCAAATAGCCCCTCTGCCCTTCCTTAACTTTTTTTTTTATTAAACATACAACATTCTCTACTTTGTAGATAATGACATGGATATGATAACCATATTTGTGAATCTTTTTGACAAGAACTTATGGGCAAAATGGAACCAAATATCTGTACTCAGACTATCTTATAATATTTGTGAAATATGGTGCCATAACTAAGAACATGCACACACAAAAAAGTTGAAAACATAGGTTCTACCTTGCAAAGACAGCAGAGTACAAGCTACTCTCCAGCAACCTTTTGGCCTTGTCTAGTCAGAGTCCCAGCTGCCCGAGACCTACCTTATGCACTCCTCAGGTTTTCTTTAGCTATACCTTTGATCTTGAAAATCTTATTTTGTACTTCATCATTCTATTCTGTGGCTCCTACTTATGTAAAGTAAACCACCTCCAAATAGTTTGTAGTTTCTAACCTCTCCATAATCTGACCAATCATTATAGTAAAAGTTGTCACTTCTGAACATGAGAAAAGCTGCTTGTAATAATTTGATAAATTTTGATATCATTTTTAATATTTTAACATAAACAATAAGTTAGATAGTCACTAAGCATTTTTCTTAACCCAAGGACCTCCCTTCATGAAGTAAGCTGTCTCTCTTGCCTGGAAGCATCCATTGCATTTTTTTTTAGCCTTGACCTGCTGGACTCAGGTGATCCCTCTGCCTCAGCCTTCCAGGTAGCTGGAACCACAAGCATGCACCACTACGCCTGGTTAATGTTTTAATTTATTTTAGAGATGAGGTCTAGCCAAGTTGCCCAGTCTGGTCTTGCATCCATGAGCTCAGGCCTTTGCATTTCCTTCCTCTAATGAGCGCAACACGTTTTCTCTTTTGTATTGTGATTATGGTTCTCTTTCAGTGCTTGTCTACTCCACAAGATGATAGCTCTTGAGAGAAAGCACTATCTTACTCTTATTTGCACCTTTTCTAGTTCTCAGCACATCTCAGTATGCCTCAGTATGGGTAATGCACAGCACACATTTTTGGAATGAAGGAATGAACCAACAGAGATTTATATGGTGATATTACTATAGCCTCCTTTTCCATTATATGCCTTTCAAACAGCCTAGAAATAAAACACTGACTAAAAACAGTTCTTAGAACCCTATCTATGGAGTGTTGCTAAAATGTTATTCTAAAGAAGGTTAGGGGACCCCTCCAGACTATGGGAAGCTGTCTACTCTTTGGTGTTAGGTTCACCAACAAGCAAAAAAAGGATAGTGGCCCCTGAGAAATAAGTACTAATCTTAGAACTCCATATTAATGGCTTCTCAATGGCAGTACAGCAAAATGGTTAGGAGCTTAAGGTCTGCAGTCAGAGGAGCTGCATTTCAGTCTTACCTCCATCACACAGTACATGGAACCTTAGGCAAGTCGTGTAACCTCTGTGCTCAGTTTCATACTGGCAAAATGTTGAAACTAACAGTACACTCATTCAATGGGATGGCATGAAAATGAATGACAACGTATAAGGTGTATAGAATAGCATCTGGCACTTTTGTGTTTTAAAGTGCTAGAAATACATAGTACTATGCTTACCTTATATCACCTACTGGTAAATTCCATGTTAAAGACAAAATGAGTTCTTTTTTGTATTCCATCACAGCATCTAGCACAATGTGTAACAAATACTAGATGCTCAAAGATTGCATGAATTATATTTGAGATATATAAATTGAATGCACACAAAGAGAAAGTATGTTAAAAATGTAAATACTATTACTATAAATTGAAGAGTTCTGGGCATGTTATTTGCATATCTTCAGTTATTTGCTTATAATTAGTTGCTAGGTGTCTTAGGACTTAATCTTTTTTTTTTGCCCTCTTCAGTGCATGTAGTTTGGTATAATGCACATTATAGCCCTGAGAACTGCGAGCCTCTTGACAAGCTGGCTGTTTAGTCTGAGGGATGAGGTTGCTGCAGCAAAAAGTGCGTTACATGACAGCACAGCTTCGCTGCTGGAGATGAAAAACCAATAATCCCAGAAAGCAGCGCACAGGGCGGGCTGGGCCAGCCAAGGACTTCGTGAAGGCTCATCTGGACCTCCCGAAGACCAGTAGGTACTGCAAAGGTGAGTGCCACAGTGCCGGGGCCTGAGCTCCGAGACCTGGATGGACGGCTGGAAGACCTGCCGGGTGAGTCATTCTTCCTATCCCAGGCACGTGCTGGTGGCAGCATCCACCCGGACCCCGCCTTTGCCCGGTGCGGAACGCAG